CCTTCCACCAGGGCCTTGAAAACAGAAATAGATGAAGAAGTTGTGTACTGTACTTAAAAACATTCACTTACTCTCATGAGTTTGTTCCTGCTTTCAGCTTCATTCGATTTTCAGAAATAGCATTTTTGGACTTTATCCCACTGTCTTTCCTCCTGGGCTTCTATATGTTATGTGGCCACAATCTGTATAGTTTAATAAAGTTAGCTGAATCATTTTAAAAGTTGAGGCAGTTAATCAATGCCATGTAGAATTGGCTACTTATTTAATTATGTAGAAAATCCCTGATATTTAAAAGGGAAATGTTTTTTTTTTCTTTCTAGCAAAATTAAGGTAAAATTATGAAAAATCCACTTAGAAAGTTTAGTGATGCATACTCATAATCTTAATCCCAGCACTCAAGAGGCCAAGGTAGCAGACTCATTAGCTGCACAGCGAGATGCTGTCTCAAAAACAAACAAAACCCAAACAACAACAACAACAACAACAACAAAACCTTAATCAGCCAACCAACCAAAGAACAACAAAAAAGAGGTCAAACTACTATCACCCACCACAATAGCAAAAACCAACCAAATAACCACTAAAGAAAGAAAAAAAATCTTAAAAATGTTTTATTTAAATGAAAGTTAGAAAATTTTACTAATTTTAAAATGTTAACTATTGTATTAGTCAGGGTTCTCTAAAGAAACAATCAGAGACGATGACAATCCATAGTTGCTCAGCCCACTAGGCTGGATGTCTCAGTACTTCAATCTGGCACTGAAGGTCTGATGAATTCCAAAAGATCAGCTAGTCTTCAGTCTACAGCATCAAGATGAACTCACCAGTGAGAGAGAAGGCAAGGGGCAGAATGCAAGCATTCTCCTCTGCCATGGCCTTTTATACAGGCTGCCACCAGAAGGTAACACCCACATTCGGGGAACCATTAATTCATTTCCTTTAAAGGTACCTATCTTCACTACGTAGGAGTCAGAGGATACTTGAATAATTACAGTGAAGAAACAGAAGGAGGAAGGCAAACATTTCTTAATTCAAAGCTCAGATTTAAAAACTGAAATTGGAAAATCAAGCTGAAACCTGAACTTAAGACATGTTGTAGTAACTGAAAAGACTTACAGAAATTTGCAGCAAATTTATATAAGGAAGGAACAAGAAGTGCTACTTCTGTTTTATAGGGAAGGAAGACATGTTTAAAAAAAAGAAGGCTGCCTTTGCTAATTAAGTACCAAAATAGAGGAAAATAGAAAATGGTGGAAGATGAAAAGTTAAAAAATTATTGTTTTCTTTTAAAAGATTGATGGTAGCGGAGGTAGAAGGAAATGGAGAAAACCAGTGAGAGAATGAGAAAAGATGAATGGGAGTTCAGTGAAAGAATGGGCAGCTGTTACAACTTCTGACCTTCTCATATGACTATATTTTATATATTTTATATTTTATATATTTCCATATTAACAACTTTAGTAATGCAATGTTTGGCGTTAATGGTGTAGGTCAGTGTTAGAACATGTGCTGAGATAGTCTGAGGCTCTGGGTTCAATCTCCATCACCAAAGCAAAAATAAACAAACAAACAAAATAGAAAAATAAGAGTCAAACAATATTTTATGAGATAAATGAATTTGTCTGAAAAGAGAAACCTGTATGTGAAAATAGGAAAGAAATGATTTAGTGTTCACATACATGGCTTGAAATTTATTGTAAGTAGTCAGTTATTTGGACTTCAACATCATACTTAATACAACATTCCTTGTGGGTTGTGGAAACATTACCCAAATAGTAAGCACGCTTAATGCTTACTATTGTGTTTTTACTACTGTAGGAACTCACTGTGTTTAGAAGTAGTTTCATATTCAATTATGTAGTTTAGAGTTAATACTGAGTTATGAACATTGCTCTATTTAGTTTTATTATTGTATTATGAAGCTGGATTTAATGACTTGAAAGTATCAGCTTCCTAATTAGTAGTATACTTTTTATTTCTATAAGAATGAAATTAGTCATTATAGACTCTTCTGTTCATATGAATGCTACCCATTCCTAAGCAACATGGCAGCAATTTCATAAGTGAAAAAAATGCTGATGATCCAGAGACAGTTTAAAATATTTAAGGAAAAGTGTTGGGCGTGGTGGCACATGCCTTTAATCCCAGCACTCTGGGAGGCAGAGGCAGGCAGATCTCTGTGAGTTCAAGGCCAGCTTGGTCTATATAGTGAGTTCCAGGACAGCTGGGGCTACAGAGAGACCCTATCTCAAAAAGAACCCCCCCCAAAAAAACCCCAAAAATTTAAGGAAAAGTTCCCATTTATCACACGGGTTCAAAAACATTCATTAAATACTTACTGTATTTCAGAACAATGCTCTTTTGTTGTGAGTACAGAGATAAATAACTTCCGGACTTCAGTTACCTTAGAGCTTTGTGGAGATAGATTTCGCATGGAATGTTAATGTAAGTGAATTAATATTGAAGAACAGACTGAAGGTTTCCATTTCCAATGTGACCTTACAGAAAATCTTCCTGAAACACTAGTGGATAACTATAGTTTTGAGTATAAGGGCTAGCCAGTTTTGATGGGAAGCAACAGATCACAGAAGTAGAGAGTGGTAGAGGGAACAGCTTCATGAAAAAAATAATGGAAGTATGCAACAGCATAGTGAACGTAACATGAAAAACTACCTAGGGTTAAAGCAGGAGGGGTAAGATGAAAAGTTGTCTTCAAAATGGGGGTGGGGCAGGGTGGAATTAGTAGTAGCTAACATTCTTCGAACACTGCCTAATGTCCAACATGCTTCATATGTATAATCATAATCTGGACATTCTCTGAGGGGTATCATCTTATTTTTCTCATATTCTCTTCCCTGCTTTCCTACAATGTCATTTTACTCTCATGGTCTGACCTGAGCAGTATGTACCATTATAAATCAAATGGAGGTACTACTGTGGAAATGTCACTGGAAAGAGAGCTGAGTCTCTACGTAGACACTGCCAGAGGTGTCGCCACCAAACTCTCAGGCTATACGGAGATGTTTACAAATCCAGATGGCGTTGACAGTGTGGTTAGCCAGTGAGACCATAAAATCTCAGTTTGAATGAATAGATGAATACTCTTTCAAGATGAAGGAGATGAAATTCTTTCCTTCCTTGCATTTATCAAGCCTTAGAGTATTCAACAGTGGTAGACACAGACTGTAAGTGATGTCACCTGAACATAAATTCAAGGTAGTACATATATTTTAGCCTGAAAAAATGCAGCCTTCCAAAAAACATTTGCTTTGTTGTTGAATTAAGTTCTTTCTCTCCAATCTGACTACAGTTCTCTTTAGTTTGACTCCTAATGCCAATCACTTGAAATACTTCAGTACCTCATATTATTGAACATACGAAAGCCTGTTCTGACTTGTCAAGTAGAAGTTATTGTGGGGTATTAGTTTGCTCTTTCATCAGGAGGGCTGCAGCAGCAGGCTCCAGATAACATTATAGGAATAACTTCCAGAACCACACAGGGAAGTGTAATCCGATTAAGGAACTGTTGCCACTTCAGAGCCAATTGGGTTGTCTCAATAAAAATTATGTGGCTGCTCCCACCTGTTCTACATCTACGTCATCTCTGTTGCCACCCACACCAGCAAGATGGATGACTTGTTCATGGCCTATTTCCTCACATAGTTTATTTCTGAATCTTTACCTTTTATAAATGTATTTCATTGGTGGAGATGAAGCCATATGCCTGTACTGCAAATGTGTATAAATGCGGGAGGCAGATAAGTACAGTTTCTATGGACTCTATTTTTTTTAGGTGAAACTGACAATGTGAGGATGTATTAAAATGGAGAAGGCATATTTAAGTGACGTTGGGCAGCCCAAAATGACAGATGATCACTGGAGTCTTTTAGCTGGTTTTCTGGCTGCTAGATTTTTGTCATTCTACATGATTCAAATCCAGGTTAAGCCTTTGCTGACCTTTTAATCTGTTCTGTGTTTTCAAGGGATCTTATACATGCCTCTGTTATAATTATTATTTGTTCCTACTACATCATAAATAATTTAGGTTTATTTATTCAGCAAAACACAAAGTGTTTACTAAGGATCAGGCATTATTTCATAAATTATAACATTTAATTTGGGTGTAAAAGCCTTCTCTCAAATTTATGCTCTCCTTATCAGCCTAGCATAGTCCCACGTGTGTAATATGTGCCCAGTAAATAGGTGATTTCAGTTTTAAAGTAGACCTAAAAGGTCACAGATCTTCTGCTTGAATATATTATAAA